CCATCTGCACCGCAAGGCTGGTTTTGCTGAGGTTATTTTTTTAAAAAGCAGCATCCCATGATACCCTTAAGTCTCTGCTTCCTGTGCTTTTGCTTCATTTGCAATTTTAAGAGATTTTCTCTAAGAATTAGATTTATTCTACATTGTGCATTAGTAAATTAGCTATTTTTACTATCTAACTTTAACCCTTTAATTCTGGAGAACAAATGCAGTTAATTTACAAGAAATTAGATAAGAAGAGATTTAACTTCTTAGCATCCTGTAGTGTCCAGTAGTGTCAAGAGTTGTTTTCAAAGATGTCCACATTTTCCTAAACTCATTGTTCTTAGTACACTCTCATTTTTCCTAGGAATTTTATTTTGAAACTTAATTTTGTCCATGTATTTTAAGCAATTATTTTCTGGCGACTTTTTTGTGCAACCAACACCATTGACTGCAGTAGTGTCGGAAAGTTTTTCTTCATTAGCAGCTTCTGCTGAATTGTTGGGAGAACAGAGTGCTGTCCCTGGTGACTCCTAAAGCTTATGGATGCGTGCAAAGTGATTGCTAATATTATTTTTAATGAAAAAATGTTGGGGTAGTACTGTTAATAGCTTTACGCAAGCATGAACTACTTCAAGTACAGCGCTAAATCTCAAACTCCTTGAGCCGTTCTTCAGCCCTCAAAATGTAATTCCTATACATACACCTTCAAGACTAAGGACCCCCTTCCATGTGCTTCTCCAGCCGAGGCAGCATGAAGCAGTAAATACAGAAACCCCATTTCTGCTGGCTCTCCACGCATGGCAGTGCAGTGAGTAACTGGATCACATTTAAAAGCACAACTCAACCAGCTTAAGTCTTCGTAGGCATCTGAAAGTAGAAGTGTTGTGTGTTTCCTCCCAAACATTTATCCTATCTCAGGGTGACTGTTGGGGTGCAGAAAAGAAGAGGAACCATCCCGCAGATCGCTGCTGCCTCTCTGGCAGCGCCTCCTGCCCCAGTCACAACTCATCTAGTCAGAGTGCGGTCAAAAATCCTTAGAAATCACTTGGTTATAAGCATGCAAATCATATCAAGAAGCACAGTGCCAGAAGGACAGTTAGCAGCCTTGCCTGTAAGACTTGCCTTCAACTCTTGCCAGTACCTAGAAATGTCAATTCTTCAGCACGCAGACCAGAGGCGTGATTTCTAGTCAGCTAGATAGTTTTGTCTGTGGGGTTTTCCCACATCTTTTCTGTAGTTGTGAGATGACAGCTCACTTGGGTATATAAATGACCCCAACTATGCATATGCGTGGTTTCCATAAACCTGGGCAGGAAGACAGCCTGTAGAAAATAGGCAAATTATGAAGCAGAGTGATGTCTTCTGAGCAAAATGACGTTTTTGACTGGTCGTAGAAAACAGTGATAATGCCTAATTCCTTATCACTGTCACATGATGCGAGTCAGATCTGAGCGTAAGTAAAGTGCCTGGGTTTTTACAGGCAGCTGCACAAAGGAATTCCAGGAAAGGAACAGTGGGTTGTGGCTTTACATTTTCTAAATCTGTTTTAAAAAATGCAGATGAGCACCTATATATCAAACTGATGATACAGATGAAGTATTTGAAATCAATATATCAAAGATTCTTCACTTTCCTACAAAAGTAATTTGTCAGCATGCCATTATTATCATGTAAATCTCTTCCTCCTTACCACACAATAACAATATATCTTTGGACATCATTTTTCCCTCCTGAGGTTGTTGCATTATCTGTAATTTCCATAAAGTTATCCTCTTAACAATGCTTACTTCATTGTACACTTATATTGCTAGTCAGTGCCCTCTCTCAGGAAACAAAATAGCTCACATGAATGTTTTGTGCAGGCCTCTCCATGATTTTTTGAATTAATACAGCGAAGGCATGTTTTAGCAGAGGCTGAAGTATCACATTTAGATTTGATAATTTACTCTATCTTTGCCATTTTTTTTTCTTTATGTTATGCAGCGCTCATATTTAGCAAGATGTTTCACTACTTGGGTTTGTGCTAGAAGAATTATCAAAGTTGTGTCACATCTATATTATTGGAAATATAGGATGTTTCTAGTATGATTTACTGAGTTCTCGTTGTATAAAATGGAAAATGTACACATTGATCAGAGGTCATCTTGCTCAAGTATTTCATAACTATGGTAGAAGAAAAGTTATTTAGACAACAGTGATTTATTTTTTTTCAAAAATCATTCTTCTGTGCGGTCACTGAAGTATATCAAATGCTAATGTCTCAGTTTCCATCTATGCCTGTCCAGAGTATTCAATCATTTTCTGTTAAGCCATCTTTATAAGAGAAGCATGCACTTCTACTTGTTTGTTTTTGGCAGATGTCTTCCATTTTCCTTGTCATATGTCAAAATTGGTTATGATAGAATTGATTTGCCTCAGTTAAGAATTCAATTTTTTTCAATTACCTTTTCATCCTTCTGGAGGCTGCTCCGATTACTAAGGCTCGGAGAGGACCTGTGGGGAGCCAGCTCCAGGAAGCCGTGACAGGCCATCGGTGCCTTGGTTGGGTGTGCACTGAGAGCTTGCTTCTTCCATCGTGAGATGGTTTATGGCTGCAGAGCTGCGACTGCCTTTCTGTTGGCCATTGCAGCCGATCCGGCACATGGTTTGTTAATGCATTGGGTACATTAATGCGCTGTGCATTTAGAAGGGGCAAATCTGTGCTTCCACTTCCCCATCAGAAGCGATGGTTTGTTTTTGCAGGTTTTGTTATTTGTCTGTGCTCTGAGCTGGATCTGGGTGAAAATGAATGCAATTTTGTGAAAAAGAGGTTGATTTATCCATATGATTTGGTTGAGAGGGTAGCTGAACAAGCAATTGTACAGACACAGCTAAAGGCAGGGTGCCTAGCGGTTAGGGACAAGAAATTGCTCAGGGCTGGAAATGCTTAATCCGCTGCCAAGGGATAACTGCATGGATTTGAGTCCTTGTCCATCCAGTGCTCCCGAGGTGAAAGACTTCTTCCTCTGTTGAGGGTTGCACATAAAGTGCTAGTGCTAAGCATTAGTGCTCTTTTTTTTTTTTTTTTTTAAATGTTAATGTCTCAGGAAACAGTAATGTTAGTAGAGATGGTGGTGGTAGTGGTGCTTATAAAAATATACTTGAGGTTTCAACGCATTCTGTTTTACTTATCCTGCTTGGTTTGGAAAAGCACTTAGTAATTAAGCTAAAATAATTAAATAGGATATTAAAAGCACAGGATAGATTTCCAGCATTCTTTTTTCCCCTTGAGGTCACAAAATATTATTCTTGCATTAACATCCTGAAGTCTGTTGAGCAGAGATTTTGGGCACGTTAAAAGCAAAAGTTCAGTTAAGGTAAGGAGTAAGACTTGGCATCTTGGCGTAGTTGGTGCACAACATGCTTACAGCTCCACAAGCACATCCTTCTCAATGAGAAGGTTTCAGAAAATACATTGAAGGTGGAACAACACGTGATTCTGTAATTATCTTTCTGTCTAATACAGAGCATTTCAAAATGATGATTTGAAAATCAGTGGTGCAGCGTCCAGGATGAGTATGGAGAATTATAAGCAAGTGCTTATCTGATTTCACTGTGTCATCTGAGTATTAACCCTGCCAGAGAACACCTCCCAACAGATAGCCACGATTTTAACACTCAGTCGAAGGCTTAATTCAGATAAAGGTGTTATCTGCCCCTCAACTCAGGGACAGATGGGTTCAGAGAAATGTGCAACACCTTGCAAACCCAGCTGTGCCCCTCATGCAGAAAGTTGTCGTTTCCATTCCAGCTTCGGAAATGACTCGGGGGTGAGGGAGCTTCCTGAGCTCCCTGCCTCCTGGCTCACAGTGAGTAGCCAAGTGGCCAAGCCTTGGATGGTCCAAGCCTTTCTGTAATAGCCTGTAGAGAGGTACACAAGTTAGGCTGTGAATAGATTATGTGCATCTCTTGAAATCCCAACTCCAATTAGCTTTTCAAACTTCTTTTGCTTTAATCATTTCAGACATGCTGCTGGGAACTGTTGTAGAGTTGAACTGGTTAAAGACAAAGTAAAATATTGAACAATGCAAATACAGAATCTGTGTTTCGTGTCTGCACAAGTATTTGTTTAGCGTTTCTGCTTCAGCTTATTTTATCTTTTTGATTTGATAGCGTAATTTATACGGTGATTATTGTCTGTACTGGAACTTCATCATTGCTGCTGACTTAGGGCCTTCTTGTAGTTGCTGTGTTGGTGCACATACTATTTCCTTTTTTGTTTGTTTGTTTCCCTTTTCTTAAACTTTTTTTTTGCTATAATTACAGTAAATGATTTCTTTGATTGCATGTTGAGTGAGCAAAAATGCTGTGCCAGCAGCCTTTTTTTTTTTTTTTTTTTTTTTTTTTTTTAACTTTGCTGCTGCTACTATTCTTTTCCTGGCTCCTGAGGGTAAAAAGATCTATGCACTCTCCTAATTTTCTTGCATACTTAGCTGCAATTGCAACCTTTAGTAATTATTATTTAATTAACTCCGAAGTATTGAGTGAACAACGCAAAACAAAAGAGAAAAAGAAAAGGAGGAAGGTCAAAACAAGGTATTTTTGTAATTTTCAAATCCATAAGCATTAACAGGACACTGACATTAAATAGCCTGCATAATTCTAGAAGAATCACAGCTCTGTAGTACAAGGCAGTTTGGTATTTAGCTGGGAATCAATTTTATTTTCATAATTGGTAGTAAGAATTTCTTTGAGCTTTGAATAAGACCACTTTCTGTTATGGAAAATTTAATTCTGCTTTACCTTTTTGAAATGTTTTCTTTCCAGTTAGCAGCTGTTTACTAAATACTATTTTTCTGGTAAACATTGACTAATTCTGGCAGAAAAATGTTTGTATATACTTGAATGTCTGCTTATAGATCTGTAGGTCTCTGCGTTTAAAAATGAGCAGTAAATGTTTGTGGCCATACATTTGTTTGAATACAACATTAAGACTAGCTTTTAATAAACAGAAGTTTCTGGGTTTGCTTTTGTAGTGGACGGCTGCATACACAGAGCTGCTGGGCCCTGTTTAGTTGCTGAATGCCGCAACCTGAGTGGCTGTGAGACTGGACAAGCAAAAATTACGTGTGGATACGAACTACCTGCAAAATGTAAGTCGACTCCTTCTCAACATTTTCTTTTTGTTTTAAGCACGTGGAGCTGGTGTGCATGCTTTATTTCCCTGTAGTCTAATTCAACAAGGTATTCATTTTACAAAATTAGCAGCGGGACTTAATTAAGCATGTTCTGTAATAATGCCTTCCCCTCAAAGCAATTCAGGCTTTTCTCAATGATTATTTCACCTATGTTACCCAATGAAAACTTACATGTTTCAAAAATATAAAGCATCTTTCATGTTTACTTTTTTTTTTTTTTTTCAAGCTAAAACATATCCTTTCATATGCATAATAAAGGATTTGAAATGCTTTAAGAAGTATGAACAAAATATACATTATCATATTTAAGTTCCATGGAGACAGTTTTTGGAAATGTTGCATATTTCATATTCGTCATGCAGATTCCTTGATTGTGAATACTTTGAGAGCTGAGGAGATCAAAGTGATGTATTGTGTTTTCAGCTGCTACGTAGAGGCTGATTGGCAATTACTGTGAAGGCATCTGTCACACTTTAGCTTTCGGCAGAGTGCAGCTCGGTGCTGGAATTCTTTTGCACTTTCAAAGCGGAATTGCCAAAATTCCTTATTTTAAATAGGAAGAAGGCAATTTCACCTTGCTGCATAGTTGTTGAGCTGGTCTTGGAAAAAATTAACATGTTGACACCATGTTGGTTGGACACTCTGTTATGTAAGAATCAAATGTAGGAAATCTCTTCAAGTTTGGATCTTACTAAAAAAAAGTATGTTAAGAAATGATGATACAAATATCAAGCATGCATTACAAACAGCATATAGCTAGAATTGAAGCTTTTTTTTTTTTTTTTTTTTTTAATATGCAGTCTGCACTAGGAACACGCCTCATTCAAATGTATTTAGATCTGTTCTCTTAATTCATTTCAGGCCGTTTCCACATAAAATCAAATGCATACTGCAGAAATGGGCATCTTGTTAAGTTCCTGTGGCCCTTAATGCCATAGGTAAAGAAGAAAATTGTGTTCTAGTCATTTGTTGACACCTTCTATAATGACTATGATGAGAACTACCAATTACTTCCTTGACAGTGAGTTCTTTTGGGTAGACCTGTGCGGTGTTAAGAGTTGGACTTGATGATCCTTAAGGGTCCCTTCCAACTCAGGATATTCTATGATTCTATGATTCTATGATTCTAATTGCTGCATGTGGGAAAACTTTATTTTACACATAATTTTACCACATGTTAAAAAATAAAACAACAGCCAAACAAACAAAAAACAACAACAAAAAAACTTTGCTATATTTTATACATAGTTTGACCACATTAATGATTAGTTATGAAAGGTAAATTTCACTTCAGATCAGGGATGTTGCTGAGGAAGATACAATGTGGTAGTTACGTGTTTTGTTTTTTTTCTTATACGATGAAAATCTTTACCAGATTCCTATAGAATGGATAAAATTATCAAATAACTACTGACAGTAGATAATCTACTGTGGGTTTTTGTGATTTAATTCTTCGTTTAAAAAAAATATATATTTATATATAAGTATAAAAAAAAAAACTTGGGAGGCTCAGAAAAGTTGCTCATCTATTGGTGCATAATACCTCCCATGTATTTTAATGAGAGAAACTAAATGCAAGGTACCAACACAACAAGCACTAACTGCATTTGAAAGAGAGAGTCATGTCTGAAGCATGGCCTCCCTTTAAGTTTTATAGCAGTTTAATGTGTCTTGCTTTAGTTAGGTTTGTAGAATGGGATCTTGCCTGAAGACTGTAGGGAAAATTCTGTTTTGTTCTTTATATAGGAATAATAAACAAAACAATAAGAAAACCCATTATCACTTGCAGTTTGAAATAAAACCTGTAACCACCTGCAGAGAAAAGCCAATATTCTGCTTAATCGATATTCTTAGAAATTGAAATTGCATCCAAGATGCATCTATTTGTATTTGATCATGCATCAGATGAGATGGAGAAAGGATACATTAACTGGCAAACAGACAAAAGGAAAGAAATGTACAGTTTACATGCAGAGTCTGAGAATTAGTACTCTTGGCTTTTTATATTTTTTTCCTTGAAATGTATTTATGTTTATCAACTGTTGTTTTCTTTTGCTTTTCCCTTCAGAAGCTTTTGGTTGTGGGCTCATTAAATTACTGTATCTTGTACACTGTTCATCTGGAAGTGATCAAACAGTTCAGACTGTTTTCATGTTTTAAAGAGCCATAGAGCCACTTGATATATTCTGTCATTCTGTGTCACTTTGCCGTAACAGTATGACAATTTAAAAGTCTTTTACGTCTGACTTTTGCAATGGAGCTGCAATATGACAGGAGGCCTGGATTTTCCCATCCAGGTGTGCTATGATGCAATCGTGCGTGTCAGCAATTTGTTTGAAGTCATAGGCGAATGGATAGCTGCCAGCTTTTACGATGAGTTTGCTCTTCACCTATCTATTTGTATACCCGAGGCCAACTACAATAATCCATTAACAGTTTGAGTAGTGTAATGATTATTTTGTTGTCTCAGGTCTTCTTGTGATTGTGGTTGGATGAATAATAATATTAAACGTGAAATGTTTTTCCAACTGTGATGAATTGTTATTATTATTTTTTTATTTATTTAACCGAATAGTAAATGTTCCAATCATATTTCCTACCCCTGGGATTTCCCCATCTCTAGTTCTTGATCTTGAATTGTTTTGCTTGGAAACAGTTCGCTGAACTCAGCAAAGCTGCTCCAGGACAGAGCAGCCTGCACAAGTGCTGTGTGGTGCAGGACTTCTTAAACTGAAAACTCTGCGTTACAGAAGATTTAGTATTCAAAGATCATACAGCATATTGTGTAGTCTTATAGACAACTTGGAGAAAGCTGGAATTAAATTTGGCATTTGAAGGAAGGTATGCTTTGCTAGGAAACTGGTAGTTGGTAAATAAAAAATACTGGCAATCTGCTTTGCGATCTATTGTATTTTTATTGTATACTTTGCTGTATTTACTTAATAAGTTCTTATTCTTATTCCTAAATAAGAACAGGTGTGATAAAGAAATTTCTTCACAAATGAAGAAAAAAAAAAGACTGAAAAATGCAAAGACTGAAAAATGCAAAGACTGATGGCATAGGCTAGCTTTCTGTGTTTTGTTCTAGTAGTTGGATCTGAGTCAGAGATCAGTCTGTGAAGTACACAAGTAACAGTAAATGCTCAGGGAGAGAATACATAAAATATTTCATATTTTTCTCATCTTGCCATGCTAGTAGTGTGAACAGACCAAAAGTAACATGGCGATAGCCTAGATATGTTGCTCTATGAACTTCTCAAGATACATTTCTGAAAGCCAAAATATAGTCTATATGAAAACAGAGGTGAAATCAAAATGAAAATTATAATTACCAGTTAATGTAATGCTCAGTACAGTTTTACAGAAGTAAGTGTAATCACCATCTGCTTTCTGTGCTGCAAAAGCCTACACAAAGCCCCCCAAATGCCAACTGAGTTATTTACTGAATACATAATTTGGTTGATGTCATCTATTGTTTTTCAGCAAACACCTATGCAGGCACCCAAGTTTTCACAGCATGTCAGAGGGTGGGTTGAAAAGGCACTGCTGTTTGTTTAGATATTTTCCTTTAATGCTCTCCCAGACCAATCATCAGTTACTTAACTTTTGTACTTCATGCTGTTGTTCGTTTTTAAAGAAAAGTTCGTTGTAAATATTGTACAACTGGTCCTCAAACACTGAGCAGTGCTCTGATATCATTGATAGCAGATGAACAGTATCTGTGTCGAGCGCTACAAATGCTTGTTTTCTTTCTCATTTGATTAATAGTCTCAGCTGGCTCTACTGGCAGAAAATGGTCTGAATGTGAATTGTGTTTATAGCTGGAGCCAAGGGTCCATAACAGCCTCATGGCTTGTTACCTGCTTGTAGATGTCTGCCATAAAAAAGAGCCTGTCAGAACACATTAAAAAATACAGTCCCATTCTACAAGGTGTTAAATGGGTTTAAAACCAATTGAAGACATGGTAACAACATCCAAAACAGGTAAGTGGTACCCTGTCCTTGGCAAGAAAGGGCCACCCAAAATAACTTTCTCCTGTTGTTAATATTTCTCGTAATCTTTTCTTTCTTTTTATGGAAAACGTTTGATAATAAAACCCCCAAACCTAGGAAAATAAAATGTTATGGCCTCTAATATGGGACAGAGCCAATGACTGGTAAATTAAATCTGAAAGTTTGACTTTCAGTGCAAGCACCTTGCTGGATATGCTAGGCAGTTTCATTGTTTTATGTTGTTAATAAAGCCTTAGTATTTTGAACAAATTTTTCTGTTTGATATTTTGAGTACTACAAGCAGTGTCCACTGGGAAATGCCGTATAGAGCACAGTCGCCTGGTCCAAAGTCACTGTGTAGATCAATCTGGAGTAATAATGTGCATGTGCTCTCAAAGACTGTTCCTGCTGTGAAATAAGTAGTTAGTGGGAGAGCTAGTATTAAACACAGTAGGAAGAATCAGCCTTTCGATTTGTTTAATCAGATTAGAAAGTGGAGATTAAAAGTAGAGATTAAAAAGTGCACTACTGTTATATAGGCATAATTTTTCAGTATTTAAAAGATGAGCATTTAGAAGGTATTATTTTAAAGTAAGGCTGTAAAGGTACAGAATTTAAATCTCTCTGTATTTGCTTGGAGACTGCTTCCAGATCTGTAATTAAAAGGTTGATTATGCAGCAATGGAACTCCAAGTACTGTACTCCAGTACTCCAAAGGTGATCAGTTGCAAAAATGGAGCACAGCATTTAAGCATATTATATGAATTCATGGGATTCCATAAATAACTTTGTTTACCTTCAAACCAACCCTTGTTTGATTTAATAATATCTAAAATTTTCTTCAAATGATTCTAAATTTTTGATGTGCAGGAGAAAGATACTTTCTTCTGTGTTGTTATGATATGCAGAAAAAACATTATCTTTTCATGTTTTTATTTTTTTTTATTTTTTGAAAGAGCTTG